AAAAAAAATCATGAAAACATAATAGAATTCATGAAACTATTCTCAAATTTGAGAACAAATAAATCATGTTCCATTTTCAAATAAACCAATGGAAAAACATGACCAAAATCATTAAGCTAAAGTAACATTATGTTATGCCTAATGAGTCAATAAAACTTAACAGAATCCATATTAGAATTGCTAAAGTCTGTATTCAATTTCTCAAATTCAAAAAAAAATTTAAAGGTCCAAACTTAATATGCATTATACATTCATGCGCGTGTTGAATCCAAATAACACTTAATGTGATCCAAGAGGAATTAGGAAATAGAGTGATAATAATTATCCACCCAAATAATAGAAGCATGTGTTAACCAATCAAAAGTGGAACTGAATTTGGATTTCATGATTCAAACCTGAATTCATGTCAACACATGAATCAAAAAGAATTCCGAAAATATGTAATTTGGATCCCATAAATTATATTTCATACATGTATGCAAGGACAGGAAATAAATCATAACTGAATCCATATTTTCAATGAAACAACAAAATCCAAATATAAATCAATTCTCAAATATTCAATATGAAGAGTCTCTGATACCACTTGTTGATAATTTTAACCTTATGCGAATAAAAACATCGCTTTATCCCAGGAGCATTCATATCGAATAATTGAAAATCAAACCGAATAAAAGCGGAAGCGTACCTAACTTCATTGAATTGAAAATTCATCTGTTCTTTGTTCTTCAGTTCCATGTGGATATCTACTTCCAAACGATCTTGTTGGACTGGTATGGTCTTCCAAACGATCGAGACCTTATAGCAGATTTTTATCCATAGTGTTTGTATTGGTATATATCTTTTGTATATTCCATCATTCTGAAGTGAGAAAGTGAGTGCTTTTAAAGGGAGAAAGCACCCCTTCATAAATCTGCTCGTATCTTTTCATCGTTTGGGGCCATAACCAAATAAATAAGAAATATTGATTTTTAGTTCGGTCCCTCAACAAACAGAAAATCACATAATGGTATCTACACTTTTAAATCCATAATAATTTGATACTCTCTTCATTCAAAATTACAAATTAGTAGATCACTTTAATTGAATAATATTATGACAACTATACACATTTAATTTACATATGTTGTCCAATAAAATATTTCTAACACTACCTACTTACATGATGGATCTCACTCACAGTTTTTTTGTAACACTTACATGATGGATCTCACTCGAATAGTTTATTTTTCTTAGCCTGGAGATATGAGTCAGGAAAATGTGTTACTAGTTATTTTCTACGTGTAAGCATTGTACATATCTGATATCTCCTCTATGGTTATAAATTTAAACCTATTCTAAGGTAACCTCCCACACTTACTTCTACTAGTTTAGTCACAAACCAAAAACTAATTTTCGTCTCCAGTAGCTACATTTATTCTACACAGAATATTATATCTTTATTATCATTGTTTCTAATTAAATAAATTGGATGTGTAGTCTAGAGTACTATCTAAAATCAATGTAATCTAGAGTTGTATCTATAATAAGTAATTTTAATGTGTGAATTTTATTTTTATTTGGTGAAATTTCTGTTTTATCTATCAAGTTGGCTATTGTCAAAATCATAGAAAGGGCTAATGAAAATATGATGTGATCAAATTATTAATTTATGTTAGATTTCCTTTATTTTTTTTATCCAAATTGAACCAGACAGGGACCATGCATCCACTTGACATGAGAAAATGATAAAATTGAGATTTTTATTCATAAGCAGTATTTTATTTCCATAACCACGATATTTATTACATATGTGATGCATGCGTTTTGCACAATATTCTTGCAACCATGACTACCTAAATTTATTTGAATACAACACATTAAAGTATTCTTCTTTTTTCTTACTTGGGATAACCTTTCCCCTTAATATAAAATTGTTGACATCCGAGTTGAGTTGGGTGGACCTAGAACTGAATACAACCGCTTAATGGAGAGAGCCGAGTTGAATAATCTGGTTGGGGAGTTAAGAGTGAAAACCGAATTCAGAAGTAAAAATAGTCGGGTAACAAACAAGATCAACCAAGACACCCAGGTCGAATAACGTTAAGTGTAAGGCCGACAAGGAAATTATCAAAGCCAGTAGAACCGAGCGCAAGACTTAGATAAAATGAGCCAAAGCTAATATCGAAGAGCCGAGCCAAGCGCACTGAGGCGGGAAAAAAATATTAAAATAATAGCAACTTGTAGTCAAATGATGAAAGATGTGACACGTTCACCAAAAGTCTGTTTGCCTACGTGTCATAGCCTCATAGGGTCACACATCGCATTAAATGTGTGTCCTTTTCATTTAATGCTTGATTTACTATCGATGAACAGTAATCGGACCATCCTTACTATTAATAGTCTTCGAAATTCTCTGTAAAGGAGTTCAGAAAAATTCTCTGCGCTCAAGACATATATTCTCCCAATTAATATTGCATTAAATACGAGTATCCGAGCTCAAATACCAGAATTCGACCTCGTATTTCCTTTAAAGTCCTTTACTCACTATCCAAAACTAAAACTGATTAAACATCATACTAACACACTACTTCATTATTATCGGTTGATAAAATCCGTTGGTCAGCAGTTTGACGCTAGAAGAAGAGCCTCATATTGTTTGAGGTTACCATTCAACTTGAAGAACACCATATCCATAATCAGTAAAACAACTCGCAAGAACAACCGAAGGAGATGCCTTCAGCAAGCCAAGAGGGAGAATCTCAGCCGCAAACGACGGAGCAACCACGCACACTGGCTCCCGCCATCGACTTTACGGCTATGTTTCAAGACTCGGAAATTCTTAAGGCATGGCGAGCCTCATGACGCGAGTCTTTCCATTAGCGTCGCACGCGCCGCCGCCGCCAACGTTTGACATGCTCAAAACACCGGTGAAAAAGACATAAACCCCACGGAAGATAAGGGCAAGAGACCGGCCTAGTCTAAAGCCGCAACCCAAGGGTTTAGCGGAAAGGGGAGCTTTTTGTCCTAGAGAGAGAGAAAAGGTAACTGGTCAATTTGGTTTTCTTATTTTTCTCCCAAAATCCATAATTCACTCATTTAGAAATATATATATTGTCTTCTGATATTTATTCAGGATTCAATTGGTATATTTGTCTTCTTCAATCTTATAATTAAAAAAAAAATAAAAAAAAAAAATTAATGGTTCAAATTCTAAATTACATATAAAATTTAAAGGGGCACTTGATCTGTTATATGTCTACTTAAAGCAAATAAATTGATCTTAATATTCACAAAGATGTTTTATATATCACCATATTTTCTCTATTTATTTAAGACATATTTTTGTACTATTAATGTTCATATATGATCTTAATAAATTGATATTGTCATGTAATATGAGTAGGGCTGCAAACGAGTCAAGCGGCTCACAAGGTGCCCGCAAGTTTTCGAGTCAATGCTCGACTCGAGTTCGGTCAAACTCAAGATCGAGTCAAGCTCGAGCAGTTCAATCGAGCAAACGAGTCGAGCCTCGAGCATCATTTCAAGAGGCTCGTAAGCTCGACGATCACTCGACTTTTTATTTACATAAATATCCCATATAGTTTAATTATCAATATAGAGCACCAAATCCAAAATTATCCATTTAGATTAAAAAATAATACCCTTATATTTAAAATTTAGTAGTTAAAATTTCGATCCGAACTCGAACCATGTCGAGCATTGAGTCTAGCTCGAGCATTCTTTTATCACGAGTCAAGTCGGGCACCATTCTACAGACACGTCGAGCTTGAGCACTGAAGAAAAAAGTTCGATCTCAGCTCATTGTAAAGTATGCGGTTTAACTAATCAAGCAAGCATAACACAAGTTAAATAAATAATAAAGCAGTATAATTCGTATGAATATAGTACAAACCAATCATTGCAAGACCTTGTAACTGTCAATCAAGCAACAAGCTGAAAGAAAAACACAGTCACGCTCCCCACTATAAACATTAGCACTTCTCTTTCTAATTGCCCTGTCAATCAGCTGAAAGAAAAAGAAGAAAGAAAAACACACATTCACGCTCCCCACTATAAACATTAGCACTTCTCTTTCTAATTGCCCAGGGATGAGCGTGATCGTTCTACTTTACCAAGTTAAATGCACCAAGTGTTGGCACAAACCTGTTTTGCTGGAGTTATATAGGGAAAGTTAAATAGAAGTGATCTTCTCATTCTGGATCTCATCAATGATCTGCCTGTCAACTCTTTCCTTCACAACCTCACAGCTAAGAAAACTAGGTTGATTTGTGGAAGCAAGAAGGCGGGCCCACATCCTGTCTGTCAATTTCACCGTGTTCTGAGTCTCTGTTACTCGCTGAAAACACCGTAAAACTAAATTTAGAACCTCACCTCACACAAAAAACTCTGGAAGAACATTTACACACACACTCACAGAAACAAGGGAGGAAAAATGATAAATTTGTGTATGTGTATGGAATTTTTCAAATTTATTGTTGCCCACCAATCTTGCTCCCAGGGCAGAAAGTAAGAATGAAATCCCTTACCATTTTAGTTCCATGCAATTTGCTTGGGAAAATATGGCACTTCCCTTCTTTGATATTATCCAATTTGCATGTTGACTATTATCATGTCTTACTGTTGAGCATTTCAATTATATTACGAGAACAGGCAAGAGCTTACACTGATTGGAATATAGGCATGTCTGCTGTTTACGGGCCCAACAGTGAAGCCAGTATATCCTGCCATTGCTCCATGGATGGCACTTTGAGCAAGAAGTGTGCAATAGATGTTATCAGATGCATTACTAGGAATCGCTCGAATCATGTACGTAGGATCTGTGGAAATAGAGTATTGTACCCGTTCAAGAAAAGAAAAAAAAAAAAGAAAAAAAAAAAACAGATATATAAGGTAAATACTAAATAGTAGTAATGATACCATTTAACATCATCTTCTGAGTATATTAATGAGGCGAATTATATTTACTAGGAAGGATTTTGCTTTTACTGCATACTTTAGTGTACATAATGCTCAATGGTTTACATAACACTCGCATGAAGTGAGATTAATCCAAATATGCATTAGATGAGCCCAATTCTACGTGAGCGTATAGACACCATTATGTACATAGATTATGTACATCTAGCATTGTCCTAACTGGATAACAGATTGAATAAGCAATAAAAGGTTCTATTTGTCTATGACTCAGAATGTCATAAACGGAAGTACTGTTGTCAATCGCGTAGACATATATGTGTTAGAAACAAAATGTTTCTGAGCGGATAACTTAATAAGATTCTCAAATAAAAAAAAATGAAAGGTAATGAGAAATTCTTTTAATGCTATTAAGCCATAATCCCAGTAATAACAATACCATCCTGTAAACTATGCAATATTTAGATATAAAAAGGCTAAAATTCACCATCTTCAGACATTGCTATGAAAGTTCACCAAGTCACAGGACCACGAAATAACATAACAAATGCATCAACTGTGGAATAAATTGTCTCAAGGAAACGGTTATGACAAAAAAATAAATAATAAATAAATAAATTACAATTCTCAGTCATAAGATAATGAAAGTTGAATGAAGAAACATAAAAACTTTCATATTACCTATATATTTCATGCCAACGGCCATCTTCCCCACATTTGTGAAATGATCCTACAAAGTCGGTGAAGAACATGAAAGCTTTGTAGGACAGAGTAAAGAGATCTCAGCGACGAAATCTGACATCAAATCTCGATCATCTCAACAGTTACTATCACTACATAATACCTGGTATAGCTGATCTAACTAGAGGACAGTCATGCGTCTATCTTAATTTATTTATAGGGATGACATGAAACACCAGAAGACTACAATCTTACAGGAAAAAAGGCCCATGAAAATGAACCGGGAACGTCCAACATGAACAAAACAAAGGCAGGAAAATTTGGATCATAAAGTTTCATATAATCCCGATGATATGAAATTAAACCAAGGTTACAACTTTCCTTTCTCCATTTCTAACAGAAAGGAAAACCAAAATAGAACAATACTTGCATATTCGTGACGTGAATATGGAAACAGAAATTTTGAAAGAGACTTCAAGTATTGTATGCACATAATAATCTTGTCAGCATTAACATGTTTAGTAAGAGAAGTGAATGGACTGAAGATGACTCGTGTATAAACATTTGATATCAGCTAACCTTAATCTTTTGTGTTAACCAGAGCCCAACATCCAAAAGAAGCCGGTTCCCAGATGCGTCTTTCTCGTCAGCTGCATGCCAGCTACGAGCAACGTATTCCTGTCCAGCACCTTCAGCCAGCACGATCACCACATGCCCATTTTCTTTGAGCCTCTGTTCAATAAATTCAAACAGCCCACCTTGTCCATCCAAATAGAATGGGGACTCTGGTATTAAGCAGCAATCCTGCACAATTCACTGCAGTTTTATCATCTCAATACACTCATCTCAATACACTTGAAACTGGCCCATAGGTAAAATTTTCAATCACTGAGAAAAAAGTAGATAAATAAAGACAAGCAGTGAATGCACCAGGTCAAATATTTAAATATACATACATACATATGAACTGTAAACCTATATAATGTTCTGCAACCAAACCTGTCTACACGGTGTAAAAATAATTTAAATGACTGACGGGCCAAAAAGGAAAAGGAAAAAGAAAGAACCCGTGTCATAAAGAACAGCATGCAAAAGAATTTAACGTCACCTACCACATCCCGACTTGCCAATGTTGCATGCATTGCAATGAATCCTGCATAAGGTTTTAAGAGCCTTCAGAGAACAGAAATTGCAAACTAGAGACAAAACTATGCAGAACCATCACGGCTTCTGCACAAAGCCCAGTGCTTTTACCACTATATCTGCCCATAAGCTTCACAATTCCAATTCCATTTTCTACACTCTCAACCTCCACATGTGCAGCATTTATTGCTCTCTGAGCCTCCTCTACAGCAGTATCAAAGCCAAAGGATTTGTCTATCACCTATATAATCATGAAGGAAGCAGAAACATAAGATTTGTGAAAATCTTGAAGATAAATATATGAACTGAAGAAATTAATATTTAGTTAATGTTGAAACACGAACGAGGACCTTCAAAAGCACGCATATCCACACTTCAGAATATCAACTATTGTACAGAGTTCCTTCATGTGCATATCCATGTTGGGACACCTAAGCTTAAATTGCAGCGGTTTGTAAGATACCACAACAAGATTTCTAAAGAGGCTTAACGAATGTTCCTTCAGTCATGTCTCTTAACTAAACACAGAACACAAAGATATAGCCTAGTGCCCTTCCATGTCCATTGATCATTGACCAGTGACACATAAAGAAACTCTTAAGATGAGGCCCTTTCCCCTTGTAGATTTCATTTAAGCTTTTCTTAACCAATCTCCCATAATAGATAACAGACATTGTAACAGATTAACTATTACATATAAAAGAATAACAAAACCAATGGATGGGTAACATTTGAAGTGAAGATAATATGAAACACCACCCAACAAGGAGGGAGAGAGAGAGAGAGAGAGAGAGAGATCTTACTGGTGGAACTTACAGCAATATCATTATCAATCGTCTTGGGAATACCAGCCACTGCCACTTTGAGCCCCCGTCTTTCGACTTCCTAAAATCATAAGTACCGATTCAAACAAGAGTAACTAAAACAAGATGGTTTAAGTTCTAATAACCACCTTTGAAATTGCAGCAGCACCCTTTTGAGTACCATCCCCCCCAATTATGTAAACCTGGTAATAAAGAAATTTAATCAAAAACTCTCACATTCACTAAGATGACAGCACAAGAAAACAATGATGTGGACCTGATTTATTCCACGGTCCTGAATATTGTCGACTATCTTATTAGTATCATGACCTCCTCTTGAAGTTTGCAAGAAAGTTCCCCCGCGCTTATGAATATCATTTACAAATTTTGGTGTCATCTGGATAGTATTCTTCGAATAGAACCCTCTATACCCTCCCTGTAAAAAAGAACAGAGACTTTCTCAGACCATCATGCCCCAAATAAAATATATACAAACTGCTTACTAGATTCTTATTATTGCTGAGTTCAGAGAAGAAAATCAAAGAGCTGCAACACCAACCTGAATTCCGAGAATTTCATGCACACCATACATATTACTCAAACCACAAACTATTTCACGTATCACTGTATTAATTCCAGGGCATAAACCCCCACATGTCACAATACATGCACGTACTTCCTCTGGCTTAAAATACACCTATATCAGGTAAACAAAATCATAAACCCGCATGTCCACAAAATAAGTGATACATTCATTTTTTATAGAATATATCAGTTATGTCAAAATGTTGTTCTCTAGAGGAACACAAATACCTTTTCACGGGGTCCTGCCCGCCGGAAATGTATTCCCCTCGGACTGTCCTTCTGAACAACAATCTTAAGACAAAATGCAGCATTTTAATTAACTGAACCTCACTTAGTATAAATGAGGTTAATGCCCACTGAATTTTTACCTTCTGCGCCACAACATCTTCATGGCTAACAAATGTTCTCCTGGGACAGAAGTCACAGAACAACAAAACATAACTCATTCAAACATTTTTATTGGTTCACGAAAAGAAATGAAAAGGTAAACTTATCATTATCAGATATCTATAAATTACCAACCAATCAATTCTAATAAATACTTATTATTTGAAAAGAGAAACATTGGCATACTTGACGATGGCATAAGCTTGAGATTTCTTCAACGGATTTGGGAATGACTGACACATTTGACCAAAAAAAAAAGAAAAGAAAGCAATCATATTGCGCAATAACCTCCAGAATCCATAAAAGAAGAACAGGAACATTGATGATATCTAATAATAACAGTAATAACAACTGAAAACGCACAGGTAAATCAGGGAGAAAATCGGATAGGTGGGGGACGTCTTCGAGGATGAAATCGTCATTATGCTCCTCTATCGCACTGACATCACCGCCGGCGGAGGCTTGGACTCTAATCGAACAGTTTCGGCGTAAAATCAGCTGCCTCGTTAGGGATAACCGGTTTCCGGCGAAATTCGCGAAACGGAAGGAAGAAGAAGTTGGGGTGGGTTTCGTACCGAGCGAAGTAGGGACGGCGGACTTTATCGAAGAAGAGAGCGATTGACAGGCTGAGTTAAGAGCGATATCCATGGCAACGGAGATTTAATCGGAAGAGAAAGAGTTTCAGGTGCGGCCGTGAGCTTGCCGGAACTGCACGAACCGTACGTGACTTGTTTACCTGAAGCAAGTGTCAAATGTTGACCGTAAATGTGTGGATTTTTTTTTTTTTTTTTTTAATTTCATTTTTTTTATCCATCGTCGAAACTCGAAAGTCGATTTAAAAGTGGTTTAATTGCAGGGAAAAACCACGAAATTTTGTAAATTAAACCAAAAAAAAATAAGTTGGCATATTAATATACAGCTTTTTAATTTTTTTGCAATTTCATATATTAGGCTTAAATCTGGCTTGATTTTGCCGTCATGGACTTCGTATAAATACAAGTTGATTTCAAAATAAAAATTAATTGAATAAAAAAATCACCAAATTTTCAGAATTTGCAAACTCAACCTAACTATTTTATGTGATGATTTTTTTTTTAAAAAAATACAAAAATTAACTTAACAATTTTCGTAGTCAATTACTTTTGGTGTTTTTTAAGAATGATAACAATTTGGTAAGTACATTAACCTCGTTTGTTTTATAAGATGAGATTGGATTAAATTAATACTTTTTGGTACTAGCATTACCATCAAGTTTTTACAATTCATTCTGCAAAATATTTTCAAGCATTATATTTTGTAAATTGTATTATAATTTTGAAAATTGGATATTAATAATTAACATGTGTCGCCAAATTTAACATTGACCAACTATTTTATCAAGCTCATTTGATGATGATTTGCATTTTCTTACACCTTATATAATTTGTATACCCTAATTGTAATAAATCATTTCCATTATAAAATATTTATATCTTCTCAACTTTGCCTTGGACTTAATTATTTTCATATGGGCATTTCTTTTTTCAATATGAAAATTGAAAATTTATGGATCAAGAGATAAGGATATGAAAGGATTGATAAAATAAAGTTTTCTCACGGTGAATAATAATAAAATCATGAGATGGCATAAAATTTAAATAAATTCTCAATCGTGTAATAATAAGATTTAAATAAATAAACCAACTGTTACAATATAAGCCATCCTATAGAAGAAAATGATCAATCATATGTTCTATAACATCTGCACCATCCGAATGCACGNTATAAAAAAAATAAAAAAAAAATAAAAAAATTAATAAATTCTATTATGGCATAAAATGAAAGACCAAAAGGAAAAGAATTCAAAGAACATGGTAAAGAAAGGTAGTATTGGATTATTTAGATATACGAAACCTGGATAATGCTGTGCGCGGCAAACTTGAGCCTGCTACTATGGAAGCTCACATCGACTTTTTCCCACGACACACGAGAAAGGCCATTCACTAGTTCCTCTGTCGTCAAATAGACCACAACAAAATTTTATTCCCTCTCTGGAAATATTTTTAAACACGCCAAGCCAAAAGGAATGCCATTGATGCAAACCGAATAGAAAAGACAGATAATTCAATAATAAAGAAATGCACTGCGTATTAAAACTAATATACAAGTGACATGCATATTGTTCTTGAATTACAGTGGAGAATATAGATTAACAGTAATGGAAAAGATTTTCACATTCTACTGCAAATAAACTTCAGAACTATATATTTTTCCCAAGTTATGTTAGGAAAGAAAATGGGATTGAACTATTAGGCTTCAGTTTGAGGATGAACTATTGAAACAGTAAATTTGTATCTTTCAAAATCATGTAGGAAGATCAAAATAGAAAGTTACGGACCTTCCAGCTCATCATCTGGAGCATTGTCTTTGACCACAGACTCGATCTGTTGACCCTTGTCATAAGCCTTGCACCGCTCTTCAAACACTATGTGGGGATATTTTTCATGAACTGAATTCTCCCACTGTTAAATAATTGGAAGTCGTAAATATGCAATAAAAAGAAAATAAGGATAATTACAGAAAATAAAAAGGAGGAAAGAATACCTGAGGTTTGAACTAATTGCAAGAACTATTATTTATTAATACCGGTTTGTGATTATCAGAAAAAGGCACCAAAGGTTGATTACATGTTAAGCTCCACATATTCATAAGCATTTCCATAAACAGGCTTATATTTGTCGAGTTATTACGACTACCCACATTACATTTTGGAAAAATAAAATAAAATAAATTTCAAGGGCTTTTAACCCAATTTTCAAGATTATACCTTTGGCAGTTCACTGTTGCGTCTGATTGATGATGTCCTCCAACCGACAATATCTGAACCATTCTTTGTTAGGACTAATAACAATGGATACTCAAAGAACACGCTAACTAGCTATCTAAAACAAAAAAAGTTAGATAAATAAAGTCATAAATCATGGATACGGTCATAGCCAACATTCGAATAAGCTACCCTGCGCTGGAAAGATCGTAAAGCTGACCTGCATAGGTAAGTTGATATAACTTTTATATATTTAACACTCGTAAAAATTTCACGTTCTGGTTAGAACTTATGATCTAATTGAAGCCATAGGAGAAGATAAAAAAAACTTTTACATAAAACAGCATTCTTCATTATCTTCTAACATGCGCTTGAGCAACGGAGGCTTTCCTTCATCGTCAGTAAGAAAAAGGTGTCTGCCCGTTCTTCGGAATATCCAATGAATAACATGACCAGCAACTTTCTCGATAGCAGTTACCCCAAAAAGAAAAGGCACCTAATCAACGTATGATGAGCAAACATATAAAAAAAAAATGATATGTTTTAATGCATATAAAAACCCCCAAAAAAAGTTAATAGTATCAATTACACCACATGAAATTCAACATGCTGTGACATTATTTATCGAGCCCTTAACTGTGCGTAGCAGATAACAAAAGTTAGTCTCACAGACCACAGAAGACATTATTTAGACTTGATATTATGAATTAATGTAAACAGAAATTCAGCATATGTATTCCAAATTAATTAATAATACCATCCATCCCTCATAATTATTCTGCTAACATAATTTGTCTAAAATTTTAAAATACAAAGGTATGAAGTTGGCACAAGGCAGTGAAAAATTCTAAGGGACGTTTGATTTTTAACAGAATCGAGTCTCTTACAACAACCAAAACAAAGCTGCAGCTGCCTATCAAAAGCTGTCATGTTTCTTCCAGTGTAATACTTTTTTACCCGAAATTGCGATTGCNTGCGATTGCTTTAAAAAAAAAAAAAGAAGAAAGAAATGCATTGTTCGTTCACTTTCACTTTCTCACTCATCAATCACATATACTTAGAAAAGGGGGTAAAAAATTCCGACTAAATTTTCACCAAATTGGTCACCAGAAATGATTCCAACCCTTACTGACCTTAAAATCCCTTACACTGTCAAACTAATACTTCAAAGTGCCAAAAGGCAGAAAAAAACTCAACCAAAGCATACACAACAAAGTTATTTAAAAAATAAAAAAATAAAAAAAAATACCTGCTTATTTCCCCTAGAACCAAGGTGTGGCGTAGCAACAGTAATAAAGTTTATGGGTTCAAGATTTGCTATTGTACCCTTCGACTCTTCTTCAGTACAAACGTTGGGTGAGACTTCTTGTCCACTTTCTTTATTAGGAGGTTTATATAACTTCCCGATTGCATATCTTGCCACGAGCCCTCCAACAGAATGCGCGATGAAAGATATTTTCTTCAGAGAAGGCTTTCTTTTGATTACTTCAAGGACCTGAAATGCACCACAAAATGAGAATCAAGTTATGTTGCATTTCACATCAAACAATACATAGGACAAACAAAACCCAACCTCCTCAGCCAGTCGCTCGCCCATAACATCAACACCATCCAATGTCAATTTTGCTGCATTCCTTTCACTACCTGCAATATTTATTTCACTTGTAAAGAAGAAACCGAAAATGTAATACAACCTCATTGAGATTTANNNAAAGAAACTCGAGTAGAGCAGAGAAGAAGTTCAAGAGCATGAGTGGTGCATTTTAGTGCAACCTGAAATAGAGTGCAGATTTTTATGTTATTTGATTTTCGAGAAAGTAATGAAATTCCAATGATCCCTCACAGAAAGAAATTTGACAACATCACCCCAATCTAATATACTATCATGTGTTCACTAGTTAGGACTTAGGAGTACCATGCCTCATTTACATATTCTGATGAAAATCAAACTTGTTATAAGCAAATTTGTAGCCAGAATATTAGAAAGAAAATTTAACAAAAAATAGAAATTTAGCAAATTCCGAGCCTGCATTTTTTAAAGTAGCTCTAAACTAAATATAAATCCAAAGAAGAGATGAACCAAGGCCAAAGCAAATAAATGGGAGAAAGCAGAAAAATACTTCTACACATTTAGATCCATGAGTTGATTTATATACATTGATTTGAAAACCTCCACTGGCATGCATCTTTGTTTGTCCCAAAAAGTGAACTGCACTCGACAAATTTTAGGCGTCATGAACATGCAGAGGTTTAATGAATTTAAATGCCACAAAATGTCAAGATCTGGTGTGTTTTGCAAGGGCCTATGGCATAGCTTAAGGAGTTACCCTATCATACCATAAAGCTCCCAACTTTTTTCAACATCGCAACGTGCTTATCACAAAAAAAGAGACAACAACAGAACATGGAATCTAAATCTACTCATTTCCTCGTGGGAAAGAGATCAATGTGGCATACAGAAAACAAAAATGTTAAAATTTTCCTTACCAAATGAACAAAAAAAAACCCACCACATTATATACGGAATGCACAACTTACAGTGAACGTAAACTTTATCAGGAAGCCTCTGGACAAATTTTTCCGCACCAAATTTCCAATCCAATGCACTGCCATAACAGAATCATCAGTAGAATCAAAGTGAAATCTTTGAGAGCAAACAATCATCTTTGAGGATTAAAGAGTTTTTAACAGACATCTACACACACACACACGCATCTTCCTAAAGTCTGTTTTACAATGATGTAAACAAAGGAAGAAATCTTTCTTGTCCTAAGGCTCACCCACATGCTAAAAGAAGCAACTTTTTGTTATGGACTTACAAAACAAGTTGCAAAACAAGTTCAAGATTGCACAAGAANTCCTGATTTTTTCACCAGCAGTTGCCAAGATCAGGTGAAAAATAACACAAAAATGAACCCAGGATAAAACTCCAAAACGCTAAAGCAAATAACTACCAAAAAAAAGTAAAAAAATTGTACCAAACAAAATATATACCTCCCAAGAATCCCGTGGACCATAACAACTAGATGATCGGCGGAGACGGCATCGGATTCTTTGGAGCTGTACACGTCCTCCCCACCGTTTCCTGCTACCGTCAAGCAAACGCCGCCGTTTTCAGCAACTCTCTCTCCCTTTTCCATTTTACTATCCCCTCAAATCATTAAAGTAGTGGCGTAACTGCTAATAAAACCACCAACCCTTTTCGAGAACTGTCGATTTAGCTTTTTTAACGCTGCCAAATAATACACGACTTCTATAAATTTTTTACAACATAACGCGTCTATCTCAATGGCGGGCTGATTTTGCTAAAATGGAAGCCAAGATGAACATTAATATGCAGCTGTGATTGTTTACACGAAAAGGGGATCTTGAAATTGATGAGAAAAATGATGATAATGGCTATCAAAGATGGTGGATACGTGGCGTGACGGTGGAAATTTTGCAAACCAAAAAAAGGTAAAACAGAGCGTGCTGTATTCAATGCCTTTGCTGAGTTGCTCTACGGTCTTTCCAGTGATGGCGTTCACTCAAGTTATAAAAAATGGAGCTGAACATATTTTTTAGCGAAATTTGTTAATGATATTTTGTGACAGCCTACATTAGACAATTTTTTCATTATTCCTAACATATGGACATGGATATGGTAGTGTAAAATTTTGACGATCAGTTAAAATGTTAAATGATGTTTTGTGAGAGGTTTGACCAAAAGCAAGTGGGTAGTTGACTAATAAACAGTAGACCGGGAGACACAGACTTGCAATTGGATATATATTTTTAAAAAAAAAATGATTTTGACTGGATGTATAATATTTTTTATAATTTTTTAACTCAAAGTTCAACTCAACTTTAATTTTATTAAACTCTACTCAATATAATCAATTTAATTAAATTATATCAATTGTCACATATCACGTCAATGTTGATTCATTATTTGTCAACTCACATAATTTTAACCAATTTTTCTCCTATTTTTATATTACATTAATTTCAACCATACATTTTAAATATTATTTAAACACAAATTCAAAGTCCCAATCAATTATTCACTCAATCATTTTTTTTTTAAATTAACTCATTTTATTCAATAAACCTTAATCGATAATAAAATTAAGTTCGATTCATTTATCAAAAAATAACTCAAAAAGTAACTTGTTGAGCTAAGGTGATAGCTCAAGAAATTAATGAAAATCCTTGTTTCTTAAGCCTTAACGAGTTTGACTAATCGAGTTGTTAAAGGAGCTCAATAAATAAACGGAGTCGAATTCAAGCCTAAACGAGACAACACAACAAAAACTTCATGAATACTCGAAAGAACTTTATTACAGTAAACTACCACATTTATTTCTTTGGTGAGAGAGCAAGAATAGTCAATAATATTGTTTTGTGGATGGACAGTTTGCTATTTATTTCTTAGGATTATATTTGCTTTCTTCTTCTCTTTTTTTTTTTTCTTTNAATATTAGAGATTGAAGTGAACTGTATGATAACTTGGAACTATTATTATTTGAAAATGAGACATTAGCTAAAAATTTGGGAATATGTTGATGAAACATATAGTAATGTAGCACCATATTTCTCAAATATATTCACTCTTTTGTTTTTCCTTATTTTTTTACCTGTTATTTGACGAGTTGCACAAGTCACACCAATACACCAACTGCAAGTTGTTTTGACGAGTTGCAGAACTCACACCATCACGAGTCGTCCAAAATTTAATTAACTCTAAGTATCAACTTTCTCCGTTCAGATGAATTGCAAGTTTTAAATTTTAATCACAAAATTTATTATACATTTTGTGTGATTCACATGGGAGATCAGCACGTATAGGCGACAACTGATTGGTTACTTGTGTTCATCGATTTGTATACGCGCAAAGAAAATAAGTGCTTTTCATAGGACGGTTGGATTAGATTGATTTGATCCCACCAAGATAAATACGACATTATATTGCTACCAAAAACATCATTTTCAGTATTACTTTCTTTTTCTCTTGGAAATAATACTTTTTCTGACATATTTTCGTACTTTCAAATTAAATTATCACTCTAAAAATAATAACATAAATAATAGTTTTATATTTTACAGCATAAGTCTACATTTTTGTGAAAGTATGAGCTGTTGAGTCACCTAACAACTAGACTGCCTCACACAACAATTAGTCATAATAATATGGACAAAACGATCAAAAATCTCCCAAGAAAAGCAGCCCCAAGTACATTCCAATGGCAAATGGACTGATTTTGATCTACAAATGGGGTTAAAATGCCTTCACCATCAAACCATAGCCTAACACGAAAAATAAACTTACATGTCACAAGAACATACGCATTTAGTAGAATATTACTATATTAGAAGTTGAGAGCCTAAATTAACTTCACGGCAAAGGTTAATCAAAAAACTAATCAAAAACTCCACGCAGGTCAAGATCAAGCAAAACACGAGCTAAACATCAATCGTCCAAGCTGTAATCACTCGACTCCTCCAAAAGTGGGACAGCCGCGCAACAAAACGATTCCTTGTCCTTGAGAAGAAGGTATCTCCCGTCTAGATTCCACTTCAGATCGAGCACGGAAAATTGAGGAAAAGGGACATTGATGCAGCACGTTTGCAGTGGGGTCCACATGTACAGATTCGTGCTCCCGGTGCATAGGAAAAGTCGAGGGCTTGTGGGGTCCCAAGCCGCGGCTCGAATAGGATCCTTTTGTATCAGGATAGCCGCCAGCTCAAGCTGCTGCACGTTCCATATCCAGAGGACACTTGGCATGCTGTCATTGCGCGTGCATATATATTGGCTGTCGCTACTCCATGCCATGAGGCCTGCAATAAATAAATAAATATATAATCAAATAAAAAATATAATGGTCTTTGGCAGAAATGCAGTAGTCAATATTAAAGAATGATTATTGTGCCGGTGTACGATTCTATTTGGAAAGAATATTGAGCTCAAACAGACTAAACAGTCTGAAATTTCCTATAAAGACGAAAGCGCACAAATATGGTGGCATTTTCAGCATCCAACAATGATATAAGACACAAAAGGAATATATAATGAAAATTTAGCATTAAGTTCTGCCTCACCGATCCCTTGCTTTGGGTTTGGTTTATCAGCTGGAGGCTTCAGTGAAGGAAGAGTGACTGGAACTTCCATAACTTCGTATCGAACTTGATTGTATGTCTCGGAGGTATTATCTGCAAGGTAGGTTATCAAGGGGAAATTATTATATAATTGCAGAGGAAAAATACTAGTAATAAACAGACACTGCAGAATGGGATGCTCAAATTCTAGACAAGCTAGCAAATATTATTTATGATTGTTAACAGATTTTACTGATGGAACTTTTCGCATTTCAAATTTGGTCAGGGTAACGTAGAATAAATATGTCAGACCAAGATAACACAAGGCAAAATTTCCTAGTTTTTTCTATTTTCAATTATTATCATTGTCATTATAAATTTTGTGCGTCAAATTGATTACTTATGATAAAACCTTCAAGTTTACAGCTTATATGGCAAAGGACACTTGGCACAACTGCATCTCGATATTCTGTGATGGCATTTTGGAAATAGAGTTACTATACCTAGACAAGTATTGCGTTTTCTGTAATCAAGAAAAATTATAAAGTGAATTATTATTTATCCCAGAAATTGGATTATAATGAATGGAAGATAATATTATTTTCATATTTGATTACTGATTAGCATCAACTTATGGAAATGCAACATTACGTTCGAGGGGTATGAAGAAACAGAGAGGGTACTGATGATCGATAATTTCGGGTGCTCACCAGTATTTCTTTGAACAAATTCATCAGTCAGTGACAATTCCGACATGTCCAGTTGCAATGGCTCGTCTACTTCCTGGATGGATGGAAAAAGTCTCAAAGCATGAATAGAAAATTTGTAAACACCTTGATATGAAAATTGTTACCTTGAATACTGCAGCTGCACAAGGGCCACGAATGACAGTTAGATGCGTAAATTCTGCAAATACTTTCCAAGTCAAGTGATTTAAAACCCGTATCATTTGGTCGTAGCTCCCCACAGCTAAAAATTGACTACATGGTGACCAAGAAACATTTTTCACTCCTAATCCACTTTCATATGCTTGATACTTGGATAAACACCGACCATCTGGAGAATATATTAGAACCTAAAACAAAACACAAAGATGCAAAACAATTTATAATGACAGCTACCCAATTTAAGCATGGACAGAGATGACAAAACAAAAAAATGCTAAAATAGCAACAATGAGACCAAACTTATAAATGCTATCATATATAACAAGAGCTGGAGATCACGTCACAAGAGGGAAGCAGTCAACCACTAAATAATAAGGTATGAAATTCTTTGGAAGTTAAACATCATGGCATTACACTGCCCAGCCAAAATTACAAGTAATAAAAAAGAATAGACCAATAAAATGCTAATAAGAGAAATTTTACAGTTTTACTACAGATATAAAATGTAATTATCAAGAGATAATATGGAAACAATGACTCCAAGTGTCCACCAACTAAAAACTGTTTCCAATCTGATAGAGCTAATGTGCACTGTGTAAATATGATCAAGTCCACGCACATGATATTTTACTGCTCATGAATCTGTGGAACCGTTCATCATAATTCCCATATCATATTAGTGGAGAAATTGTTTACGTCAAGCTACGAATATAGATAAATTATAAGTAATCACAACTATAAGACAGATTCAACTATAAGACAGATTCAAAGAACAGCATCACCATAAGTACCTTATATTCAAGAGGGGAATCCCATATGACTATGGCACTGTCATCTGGTGACCATTGAATATCAGCCAAATCCAAAGTGTCAACGGCAAAAACACCCATAATTTCCCACGTACAACAAGATAGTAGATTAACATAGTCCTTGCAATCACGTCTCGTGCATATTGCAGCAAATTTCCCATCTTTTGTAAATGAAACTCCCTTAGAACCATGCTTTGGCCACTGCACATGAATGCATGCTGTGTTCAACAAGGACCAAACCGTTAAGCGTAGTTGGAAATCGGATGTGGTGAGTATGTGACGGCTATCCGGGCTCCACCTTGCATAGGAAATACCCGCGGGCCCCTCATCAATCTTACATGTCCATTCGGGTTGTGCTAATGACCATGCTTGTATCATGGGCCTCTTGAATAGGCCGCAAAGTATGTACTCGGAATCAAGGGCCCATTCGATGTAAGTTATTTTGTCCAAACAAGAGAATAATTGTACCACCTATAAGGCAATTAAATACAATCAGTGCATATTCAACTGCGAGGGCACAAGACTTAGCTCAACGAGTGCTGACTTTTTACTAAGTATACAAGCTATCAAACTTTCACCATGACGCACTGCAGAGGATGATAACCTTGAACCCAATTTGTTCACTACTTCATAGACCAATTTCAAGCAACATGTATGTTCGGTTTCATTTACATCCATTACTGAAAAACTGAAGTATGATAATGTACTTTTTTAAACATCGACTAATTGACGAGCAACATCAAGCAGAAAATCGAAATTCCAGAATCTCAACAACTTCACTGAGTTACAAAAAGTGAAGAAATCAAAATGTACGAACCTTGAGGGTGTGAACATCGCGAATGACTAGACGATAATCAACGGCGACTGCTAAATACCTCGCATTTGGCGAAAAAGCACAGGGACCCGCCTGCTTAAACGTCTCTGAGAAATCCATTTTCACTGCTTTTCCGAATTATTCCTTGTTATGCAGCTGGATTTTCCTGCATAATGAAGCAGCTTACATTGATCGGGAGGATGGATCTGCAAATGGGTTTGTGAGATCTGTGGAGCCGTGGGTGAGAGTTGAAAGAGGAAATAGGGGCGGTGAAAAAGTTGAAGGCTTTTCAAAATTTAAGAGTTACAGACCAACAAATTTCAAGAAATCCAAGAGTAGTTTATAAAACAGTCAAATTACTTCCTACGGATGGTAAAAACAAGTAGATTGGGAGAAATGTGTAAAGTTTTGGCATATATTTATGGAAAATGCTAATTTTCCTAATTGAACCATTCATTTAAATAAAACTTCAATAAAAAAGTGTCACGTCATCATTTATTGACTACATCTAAGGGTCCATATCAAACTAAAAGATCTAACGACTTATATTGAAATGAAACTAGTGACGGATCTAGGAATTTCACTCAGGTGACCGATTTTAAATGTTAAATAAAGAGCTTGTAGTTTAAATCGAAACGCTTATTTCATATAAAAATGTATTTACTATAAGTTACGGAAAAATATGTTTTTTCAGTTGAAAAATTGATTTAAATTGAACTTTTGTAGCACATTGCATAACAATTTTGTTGATGAGAGCTTATCAAACGAACATTTTTTAAGAAAAAATAAAAAAAATTAAAAATATGTGATTACACACAC